TTTTAATATTTTTTACATAATTTCAGTTGATGTCGGTGTATCACTGCTTGACGTTTCGTATATTAGAATTCGTATTATGCGAGATGCGAATACAGGGAGGGACGGATTTGGTGTGTGGAGGAAAGGCGATGCAACGGTTTGCACCCGTAAGCACCCGTAAAGGAAGCGTTGAATTAAATTAATTGAGATTTAATGCCCATGTATCAAGAGATGGGCGATATTTTACATTCGGTTGTTAAACAATTTAATAATTTGTTTTAATGGGTAGGGTCTAATCCAATTAATACGGTTGGGGTATATTTAAATAGCTGCGTAATTTATCTAATTTTTCCAATTTATTTTCATCGAGGGGTGCACGTTTTCATGTTACGTGCTATTATAACTAATAGATCAAGTTTGACCTCCCGTATATCATGGTGTTGTTTACTGAAAGGCCCGGGGAATAATCAATTTTTGTCAGTAAATAAAATATGACGGAAAAGATTTTTAATTTCGACCATTATTCTATTTGTTCGCTTCCAAATTTAATCTGAAATAAAGCATTTTACGACGAAATTAGATTTATAAAGTTGGTAAAGTTTTAAATTGCGTTTGAAATGCGAACAGTGAGGACCATATATAGAGAATCGGGGAATGTGACCGGGTTTAAATAAATTTAAGAAAGTGTTCGTGCATCATGAAAATGGACTACTAAATATGTCATCTGAGCGGCATTGTTGTCATTTACATAATTCGCTGTCATCTGTCGGGTGTCGACAGATATATTTTTTTGATTGCCGGATGGTTCATTTCTCACTTGGAAGTGCTACACAAACACGAGCCCAAGTTTATTTTAGTCCCGTGTGTTGTGGCACATAACATATTAAGTCATAAGTATTATTTTCTGGGTAATATATTGATTATCCGTTTGGTGGTGTGTTTTTAGAAGTGTTCTATTAATACTAGAGGTCCACTTGTAGTCACTGTGGAAGTTGTTTTGATGTAGAAGTGACGGCAGACTGAGCTTCACCGAGCCGAGATCAATCACCGTCGCGTACGCGTTTCAATGAAACACTCCCTCACCCTAAAACCTCTCACATCAAAAGATCTTCACTCAGCAAATGTCTCGAGAATTCGCCCTGTTAATGCTTATTTATATAATTCATTTTGCGTCATTTGATCACCCTAACGCGGAACAGGTTGTGTCAAACAAAGCAAATTCGCAAATTGATGACGCAAATCACCCGATTTTCATTTCCTCGCTCCTACTTATAAACGCATCATTCAGACTCGGATTACTTCAAAGAATTGATTGTTTGCCCATAGTCTGCTCACGAAAATCTCACGCAATTTACGAAAAATACCACCCTACCTGTTTTCATAAAGAAGCATTTATCAGACAACCGCTACACTTAACGATTTTAATTTTACACGAACAGATGCCCGACTTACGCGGGCTAAGCGTGCAAATACATGTTAAAATAATTGGCTGATTTTGCCACATCGTTATTGGCAAATAACATAACAATTAATACATAAACTGTTTAATTTCTTATATGTAGATTAAGGCCAGGTGGCCAAAAAATTGTGTACAAAATGGGAGGTAAGCAAATTTGTCCAAGCATATCATTTACCAAACAAAGAGGCTGTTACGGTAGCCAAGGCATTTGTCTTAATGAGATTTTAGAAATTTGTAGACCTTTTTAAACAATTACTTTATAGTAATTGTCTTAAACGTAGCAATAAGATAGGAGGGATGTCATGGTACATAAAAATAGGAATCTGATTTAACCTAATCGAAAAATTTGAAATTGCATAAGCTATATCATCTTCTTTACACGCACAGTCGGTGATATTAATGCCGACGTTGTAGTTGGACCGAACCAATAATTAGATTATTATTGTTTGTTGTGGGGGGATGCCAAAATCGTGTGTAGACTATAGTGTGTCGGCGTCGATGAAGGGTGAAGGCGGACCCGAGGCCTGTGTAATGAAGCGGTAATTTTTCGACTAGAAATGTGTGAAGCTTCGAAAACACGGATAATACGAGCAGCTTTACGACAAAACTCATTATAACTGATATTATCTTTGTGTCAGTACGTGACATCAATTTATTTTTAATTTTATACACAATAGAGCAGCGTTAATGCAACGACGTTAATGCAACGTTGAAATTTTTAATCATATTAAATTTCTGCGAGCGTCGTAGTACAATCACGACGTAAACACTTGCAATAAAATTGATACCTAATTTTATGCTCGGCATACATGCTTTTAGTTGATGGGAGTTCACCATGCTCGCAATTAATGGCTTTCCCGAACTGCTCGAGTGTTTCTTAATAAGTGAATTGCAACAGAATTGATCGTCTATTTTTACAAGCAGAGCACTTCTAATGCACCAATTAAAGGGAGCCTGGGTTTCGCGTTCAGACTACTTAATTTTTTCAATTAAACTCAAATTTAGTACCAGTTGAGAGTCAGTTAACTCGAAACCGGTCTGTTTTCAGTTCCCGCGAGACAAGAATTCGAGAATTAGATTAAAAATGGTAATTTTCAGGCTCTGCTACTCCAGCCTGTGAATTTTTTCCGAGCGAAGACTAAATAGAATTCGGCTAGTTGGCTTCAAAACGTCATTTCCGCACAAACAGACTCGTAAACACGTTTTTTCGACCGAAAACTTGTCCAAATGATCGCGGCTATATGGGAGCAAAAAGTTTTACTTACCTGATCAAATAAAGATGGATCTTGGCCACATGATCCGTTTTTGTGAGAGTTAGCAACTTTTCAAATTTGCATTTTTTACTATGAAATCGATGCCGACAAATTAATGGGAGGGACCGATCCACTCCGGCGATCAATAAATTGACGACGTTCCCACAGAACCATCAATATTTAGTTACAAAAGTCGATTCAAACTGGACTGTCGACCAGATGTCGCACCTGTGACCGATTTTCGCGCGGACCAGTATACTACACCTTCGGGTTTTTCAAATTCGGATGAATCATTTTCAGAGCCCGACTGTCGGATTTTGAGAATAAATATAGATAATTTACAGCTACACTTAGCACTCGTCTATTCGGAGCTCGTAATCTCAATATTTTCCGGGCGAACTTTATCCAGATGTACGCGCACCTACTAGACATCCGTACGCGAGCAAACAGTAGCTGCATTGGCGAAGTATTTATTTAATAGGAGAAAATCGCTCTGAACTCTATTACAGCAGTTTCAATCAAATTTAGTGCTCAAACGTCACTATCAAATATTTAATTTTACGGTATTGGTGCAGACGATATTGTTGATTTGTACCGTTCGGATTAATTATTGCTGGTTGTTTTGGTGTGTGTGTTCGTTCTATTAGTAGTCGACGTAGTGCGGTAAGCGTCGCCTAATTCCCGCACCCTTTCCTCGGCTTTCGCGATTTTTCCACCAATTTGTTTTCCGGTATTCGGTAAGTTGGGTTAATTAAAGGATGTTTATAATTTTTGTTTGAAATTAAACTGGTCCGGGTTTTAATCCGGTGCGGTTCATGCAGATTCCGCCGTAACAGGATTGTTTAAAATTGGGTAGTAAACTTTAGATTTTACGGGAGATGATTTTGTTGATTATAATCCTTCTTAAGCGCGCTGCTTGTTAACTTTGTTTATTGTTTTACACTTTGGGTAAACTGAAATTACACGTTTTTTCTTCTCACCGCAATTACAGAAGAAAACCGAGTTACAAACGATTTATGCTTCTCAGATAATTATAATTATTTAAAGGATTTGAGTTGCCTCGAACTTGCGTCTGATGCGGTCGACCGCTCCGCCAACTTCGCTTAAGCGCGTAAGATGGGGAAAATCAAAATAACGGAAAAGAGGGTTTCGACGAAAGCATTTCACGTGGACCGTGATGCACCCGCAGACTTAGGATTTATTTACTACGAGGATAAAGCGGACGTATCCGCTTCGGTCACTCCAAAAAAACGTACCGACACATCATTCCTTATATATATAAATATACCTATATATAACCAACTATAATTTCCACGTTCATTCATTAACAATTTACCATCATTCTGACGTCCGTATACGGACGCCACTTTGCGATTATAAAGAAAACATTCCTGAGGTATCGAGGATGCTTCTACATTTTTTCGGACGTCAAAATGAACGAAAAGAAACGACGTTTTTCATAACAATATCGAGGAAATTTAACGCCACCGAAAATATACTTTATTCTGAAGACTGGGTTTGTTTGAGTGTGCTTCAGGGACGAAAGAAATTCTGTCTAAATAACTCTAGATCAATTTTTTTAACACTCTATTTAAACACGTAACTTGAAGCCCATTTTTTAACAAACATAATTTAATTTTTTTTCCTATCATCATGAATAAATAAATTTAACTGTTTGTTCTGTAATCACTAAATTATTCTTCGTCCTTTGAACAATTCTGAGACGACGAAATTAAATAAATAAGGACAATTGTTGAATGTACGACGTAAGTAAACCTTTCGTGAAAAAACAGACACCATAAGTAATACATTAAGAAAAGAAGTAAACATGAATTATTAAATGGTATCTAAAAAGCGTTGAAATGATGGTATCCTGTGCAAATTTGTATAAATTGGATGGCAGATAGGCGGTGATATGAAAGTAAAATATACGTCGGACGTCATCGTGATATCTGTATGAAATGCGTTTAAATGATATCAAAACACAAAATGTATTTTTAATTTGTAGAATTCGTCTATTTCTGTAATTTGTCACGGACGTCAAATTGATAGCCGGGTGTATAATGGTAGCGTATTTAGTAAAACGAGAGGTGTCTTGCGGGCCTGTCGAATCGCTCACGTGCTTCTGGGCGCCGTCTATGCCCGCAATAATTATTTTCGGGGTTCCCCTTGCGTGGCGCACTTCTCGGCGCCCCGCACAACCGCCGCCCCCGAGCCAATTAAAGCGAGATATCCTGTGCGAGCCGGCGGCGGCTCCGCGAGAACGCTCCGAAAATTGCGATTTCAGCTCATTGTTCTCGTTGTTTCAGTGATGCGGTGCGGTGTTGCGATCGCGGCCGGCCGGGGCATGCACTGGCCGCCGTCTTCATGGTGGTGAGGAGCGCTCGCGCTGGACCCGCGGTGGAAAAGGGGGCCAACATCGTGGCGGGCCTCTGGCTGCTGCTTCTGGCGGGGCTGTGGGGTCGCGCATTTGGGGGGATGCTCCTGGCGCAGTACCCGGGCCCCGCCGATCCACCGATCCACTTCTCGCACCTGGCGATCGACCACCAGACGAAGAAGATCTTCGCCGCGGGCACCAACCGCCTGCTCCAGCTCGACGCCGACCTGAACCTGGAGCACTCGGTGATGACCGGTCCGAAGAACGACAGCCCCTCGTGCCACGCCAGCGGCTGCACGGACGCCGACGTGCCGCTAGCGCTCACCGACAACCACAACAAGATTTTACTGATCGAGCCGGAGTCGAGGACGCTCATTTTGTGTGGTTCGATTTTCCAAGGTGCGTGCTATAAGTATAAACTGAGCAACGTCAGTGCGGAGCCGGACTTTATTCCGAGGGCGATCGCCGCCAACGATGCGAATGCCTCGACGTACGCGTACATCGGGCCCAAGAGCTACAATCTCTGGGGGCGCTCGAATATATTGTATGTGGGGACGACTTTCACGAACAACGGGGAGTACCGGCATGACGTACCAGCGATTGCTAGTAGAGACCTGGACACGCTGGATATCGCTGAGTACTCTTTCAGCAAACAGTCACATTTGAGCATCGACGTCAAATATAGAGACCACTTCATAGTGCAGTATGTCTACGGGTTCAACGCAAGCGATTACGCGTACTTTCTTATAGTCCAGAAACAGTCGCACCTGCCGGGACAGGAAGAACAAGGCTACGTTTCGAGGTTATCCAGGACTTGTATTAACGACGCCAACTACGACAGCTACACCGAAGTGACGCTCCAGTGCGTCGATGGTGATCAAAAATACAACCTGGTGCAAGATGCGAAAATCGCGACGGCTGGAGAAGAACTGGCCAATTCCCTAGGGATTACAATCGGGACGGCGGTTTTAATCGCCGTTTTTAGACCAGCCCGTGGGATCACCAACGAACCTCAACCACACTCAGCTCTCTGTCTTTACCCTTTGCGTGATATCGAAGCCAAATTCATCGAAAACATTCACATGTGTTTCAACGGGAGCGTCAAATATAGGAACATGGGCTACGTTTCGGGGCTAATCCTCGACGGGAAATGTCCCACGAGCGGGTCCGCGGGCAACATTCCGAATTTTTGCGAAGTCGGCTTAAAAATTAGCGGCGCAACTCCAATCGTGGGCACTGCGGCTCTAGTATTTCCTAATATCTCTCTATCGGCTGTTTCCACCGCATCGACAGGAAGACATGTGTTAGCATTCCTCGGAACTACAGACGGGAAATTGAAAAAGGTACTTTTATCGGGACCTGTTCCTACAGAATATGAGGAAGTTGTAGTCGACGAAGGTAACTCTATATTACCCGACACGACTCTCTCGACTTCAGGAGATTACCTCTACGTCCTCTCTACGTCAAAGGTAACGTATGACTTCGCCAACCCCCAACCCCGAATTACATGCGAAAGTTTTGACAATGTGGGCGAATCTCACTCATTAGCTCTCACAGCGTGGCCTCAACCCGATCATCACGGGCAGAATTTGCAGGTAGGTCCAAACTACAACGAAATTTACGTATCGTCTAGTAGACCATGAAATTGATTTTTGACACTTTATTTGAACCGTAACTGTCAAAATGAATAACGGTGTAAGAACTTGTAATTCTGCTGTTGTTGATCGAGAAGGTACACTATGAAGGGCTAGTGTAGGTCGATTCCGCCTATAGGATCAAAACTTTGGTGTTCGATTGTATATCGGTGAATTTCTAGATATCAAAAATTAACGTCGAGCACTGCAGCAGCTACAACAACTGTTCGGCTTGCTTAGAATCAAAAGATCCCTATTGCGGGTGGTGTTCTCTTGAAAAGAAGTAGGTTTTAATTACGCACTTGCTCTCAGTATTAAGCGATTGTTTGTAGGTGCACTGTTCGCAGTGCTTGCCTGAAGGCCTCTCACAGCCCTCCCCGTTGGTTGTCGCTAGGCACGGGGCAACAGTGTATAGACTTCGAGCAAGTCTTACCCGAACGAATTCCGATTAATCAAATGACAACCGTCCGTCTTACAATAAAAACTCTTCCAGAACTTCCATATGGTGCTAAATATAAGTGTGTGTTTGGTTCCGCGGAACCCATCGATGCCGTCGTGACGGAATTCGGACTGTCTTGTCCGACACCTGATGTCTTGAGACGTCCACAAATTCCACCGCTGAAAGACCACGTGCTCGTACCGCTCAGCGTACGTTCCTCGGAAACGAACAAAGATTTCGTATCGAGAAACTTCGCCTATTACGACTGTTCTAAACACACCACTTGTATGCAATGTGTCAAGTCGCAGTGGGCGTGCAATTGGTGTGTCTATGAAAACAAATGTACACACAATACCTCAGTCTGTCAACGCAACATCATTAGCGGCGAAAACGTAAGATGATAAAGTCGTCGGAAAGCAGCGGCCGGTGTATACGTTTTTTCTTTTTGTTTGTAGAATCCCGTGCATTTGCCAAACCACGGGTTCGAGTATTGTCCGCAGTTTCGTCGGCGCGACGTCATTTTGTTGCCGACGAACGTGCCCAAACAGATGGTTTTCGAGGTTAAAAATTTACCCCACCCGCAAGCTGCTCACTCGGGATTTCAATGCATTATAATTATCGAAGGTGCTACAATGTTAGTCCCGGCTCGAGTGGCTTACAATAAGCATATTGTTTGTGATAACACTACAGTGAGTCGAGTTAAGATCCTCGTCTAATTCCCGTATTAATTAATTAACATTTCAGTACTCGTACGAGGCAAACGAAGGGGAGTACGAAGCTAACGTGACGGTTGTTTGGAACAGAAACCACCACATTGACTCGATGACGGTGAAATTGTATAAATGTGATATATTGGGTTCGCACCGCGAACACGCGGACTGCTCTCTTTGCGTTACCAGAAACTCAAAATACCAGTGCACCTGGTGCGGAAACACTTGCACTTATAGCGAGACCTGCCAGCAAATACCTCACATTGAGTGTCCGAGGCCTCGAATCGACATGGTAAAGACCGAGTCCGGGCCCAAAACGCGCAAAAACGGTCGGCCGTTTTGGCAGAAGTGTGGCGCGGTTTGGGCCGGGGACTCGTTAGCTTGGGGCGCCGACCCTAATTAAGCAATTCATTTATATCAGCTGTGCAGGACCAGTTGATATCACACCGCTTTGTTTATAGATTAAGCCGCTGAGCGGGCCGATAGAGGGCGGCACCTTGGTGACGATAGAAGGCAGTAACCTAGGCTTGAAAAAGGAAGACGTTCAAGGGAAAATCAAAATCGGGGATGTACCCTGCGAGCTCGTCAACTACGAGGTTTCGGTGAAAATCCAGTGCGTGACGGGACCGTCGGGAGGCGAGATGACCGCCCCAATAATAGTAGGCAACGAAGCCGGGTTTACCGAGTCGTCGGTGGAGTTCAGTTACAAAGACATTAAGCTGTTCGGGATAGATCCGACGAAGGGGCCTCTGTCCGGCGGCACCCAGTTGGCGATTAGGGGACAGTATCTGAATATCGGCTCGGAAATAACCGCGTATTTAGACGATTACGTCTGTCAGGTTAATTTAACTCAAGCTTCTAGCGGACGTTTGACTTGTATTACGTCGCGAGCACACGAGTCTGTGAATATAGCTAAACTTACTTTAAGTATAGATGGCGCTAATCGTACTTTAGAAGGTAATCCGTTTAATTACACGCAAGATCCCACGATTATGGAAATTAAGCCGTTGAAAAGTTTTGTGTCTGGAGGAAGAATGATTTTTGTTCATGGCACTAATTTAAGCAGCATTCAGGCTCCCGAAATGGAGGTTTATTCAGATGGCGAACCTTCCGTCGCTATTAATAAAACTTCTTGTACAGTCTTAAGTGCTACACAAATTGAATGTCCGAGTCCTTCAGTTAATCGCCAGTTTCTTTTAGCCAGTAGCAGAGCTAGAAGATCACTTAGACAGCCGTCTGCCATTAAAGTAAGTACTGTTTTTTACCGTCCCGACCGATATCTGATAGTCCGACTATATTCCAGATGCCAGAAGCTCAGCTTATTGTCAAAATCGGTTTTATTATGGACAATGTACAGTCGGTTAAGGACTTAGATAAGCATTTTCCTAATTTAAGAAGTCAGTTGTTATACGTAGAAGACCCTAAGTTTTTTAAATTTCCTAATCAAATTAAGCTTTATAAAGGTGATACGTTAGTTATAGAGGGCGAAAACTTAAACATGGCTAGTGATGAAACTGATGTAGTTGTAACAATAGGGACAAAACCGTGCAACGTCACCGGTTTAGCAATGAGTCAGTTGGTTTGTTCACCACCTGAACAACAACCACTCGACACAGACGAGAACGGCGTAAAGGTACTTTTCTACATCGATCTGATTCCTCCACTACACGCCACTATTTCAGACTGATACTAATCTTCCTTTGGTCGTGGTACGAGTAGGAAGAAACCTGAGGTTTCCGCTGGGTTATTTACGTTACGACATATATAAAAGCTTCGCTTTCCCCCCAGAAGCAATGGCTATGATAGCGGCCGGTTCAATTTTATTCGTCTTGTTTTTTTTCGCTGTACTCTTCGTATATCGTCGTAAATCCACTCAAGCGGAACGCGAATACAAACGTATTCAAATACAAATGGATACATTAGAGAGTAACGTAAGATCTGAATGTAAATTAGGTAAGATACGAAAATTTACTTCGTTACATTTTTTTGAATAATTAGAATTTTTAGCATTTGCCGAACTTCAAACCGACATGACTGATCTCACCGCGGACTTGGAAAATTCAGGAATACCAACCTTGGATCATACTAGTTACATCATGAAAGTGTTTTTCCCGGGAGTGAGCGATCACCCGATTTTAAACGCACCAAAGGTATTCCCTTCCAATGTGACTTAACGTAAGTGACTTAACTGTGTTGTAGGTGCGCATTAACGGACCGCGGACTAACTATGACACGGCAATGCTACAATTTGAGCAGTTAATCAACAATAAACACTTTGTATTAGTTTTTATAGAAATTTTAGAGTCCCAGAAGTCTTTTAACATACGTGATAAGTACGCACACTTGTTATTATTATTATTATTATTTTGTATTTATGCGAGTTTTACGTTACAGAGTGACTGTTGCGTCGTTGTTGATGGTAGTTTTAATGGGCAAAATGGAATACGCCACCGATATATTAAAAAGTTTGCTTCTACGTTTGATAGATAAGTCGGTTAACACAAAGCATCCGCAACTTATGTTACGAAGAACCGAAAGTGTGGTTGAGAAGATGTTAACCAACTGGATGGCGCTTTGTATGTACTATTATTTAAAAGAGTACGCAGGTTCTTCGTTGTTTTTGTTATTTAAAGCGATTAAGCATCAGATAGAGAAAGGCTTGGTAGATGCGATCACGCACGACGCTCGTTATTCTTTATCTGAAGAAAGGTTGTTAAGAGAACAAGTAGAACATAATCCTGTGGTAATACTACTTAGTAGATTTCGTAGTTCGTTTGTTTCACTTACGTGTTTTCAGACTTTGCACATTGTGCAAGACGATTTAGATGAAAAAATTCAATGTAAAGTTTTAGACTGTGATACAATCAGTCAAGTCAAATCTAAAATCTTAGATGCTCTCTTTAAAAATACACCATTTTCGTTGCGTCCTTCAATACATGAGGTTGATTTAGAGTGGCGACATGGAAGGGGTGGCCACTTAACCCTTCAAGACGAAGACTTAACTACGAAAACTGTCGGGTCGTGGAAAAAATTAAACACTTTGGCTCATTACGGTGTTAAGGAAAGTGCAGTAATGTCACTAATTTCACGACAGAATGACAGTTTTAATAACTGTAAACAACCTTGTCATAATTGTGAGTATAATAAGTACCTGCATTGTTTTACCTAATGGCCGCTATTTAGGTGTGGCAGGCATGTACTTTAACAATTCTCAATCACCCATAATTACAACAAACGGCGACGTCGAAACTGGAACTAATCCAAGGATATATCATCTCGTTAAACCCATAGACGATCATCAATTCCCCAACAACAAACTAGCCGAGAGAACTCATAAAGCTATACCAGAGATATTTTTGACGCGACTTTTATCCACCAAAGGGACGATTCAAAAATTCGTTGATGATTTCTTTTTAACTATATTGACAGTAAACGAGGCGCTACCCCCAGCGGTGAAATGGTTGTTCGACCTTTTGGACGAAGCGGCAAGAAAACATGGAATCCAAGACCCTGAAGTTGTACACGCGTGGAAATCGAATAGTCTTCCTCTTAGATTTTGGGTTAATTTTATAAAAAATCCCGACTTTATATTTGATATAAATAAAACTACAACTTTGGACTCTTGCTTGTCTGTTATAGCGCAAACTTTCATGGATTCTTGCTCCACCACCGAGCACAGGTTGGGCAAGGACTCTCCGTCTAACAAGCTACTGTTTGCAAAGGTGAGTACCATAACCGGTTCCGGTTTTGACTTGTTCGATTCGGTTTTGTGACTAGGATATCCCTCGGTACCGAGAAATGGTGGCCCAGTTCTACCACGACGTGGCCACCTTGCCCGTAATCACCGATCAAGAAATGGGTTCCGCCATGCAGCAGCTGTCTGCTCAACAAGCCGACGAGTTCGACACGGTGGCGGCTCTGAAGGAGTTGTACATCTACGTGACGAAGTACAGAGAGCAGGTGAGTGGGAGCGGAGTGCGGGGTGCATGCTGATGTATTTTTTTAGATAATCGAGGCTCTGAAAAACGATATAAACTGCCGTCGGTTGCATTTGGCACAAAGGCTGGATAGTGTTGCTTATACCCTCGGAGGTGAAGACACTTCAGCTTGCTGACCTCGTCAGTCACCTGATCCCCTGCTGCCCCGACCCTTGGCGCCCTGATTCCATGCGCATTTTGCACCGACACGCCGATAGAGGGAGCATGTGGGTGCATATGAGCGTGTTATACTGTGATATGGCGCACGATCAGGTGACTGTGATTGGATGCGTACTTACCCTCCAGCGGCTGCTAGTTTCCTTCCTGAGTGCCTCGCTACGCTGATGGGACGTGACATGGACAGTGTATACGCGCAGTGGCGCACTTATATAGCGCACTTTTGTTCGGTCCGGTTAGCTTAGTTTTAAGTAGAAGTTTATAGACATTCATTCTACATGTATCCGACTGATACGATAGTGGTTTAAGTTTATCATAACCTTACTTTTAGATATCAGTATTAAATTTTTATTATTTTAACTTGGCTATTATTGCAGGAGCGGTTTGTCTGAATCTTTGTTTACTATCAGTCGTGTATATGATGAAATAGTGATCTGTGCCGGAACTATATTTATGTGGAATCGTCTTCACGTCCAGTGATTTGTACGTTACTATTTTAATTATGTTTAATATAAAACAGTGCATACTTGTATCTTAACTATTATATATTTTTTTTGTACATACTTCAATTGTGCATATAGATTATTATATCGGATTTATAAAAGTGTTTATATTTAAGCAAACATTCATTCGTAATTAATTTTATTAGATTGTGTTAGAGTACATTTTTATCCTAACAGCAATTTTTACGAACAATTTATTGTATATGTCGTAACTGCTTATTTAAAATGTGACTATACACACACAATATGTACATTTTAATTTAATACGTAGTCACAAGATATATATTTTTATTGATCCATCAAAGCAAGTATACATCACACTTTGTAGTCATATTTTAAATCTGCTCTTATAAATTTTTATATTTAAACTATTGATGTTTGAATTCTCAAAGTTAATATACGAAAAAGTTAGATAAAAATGTTTGTTACATGCAATTTTAAGGTGACTTATTTTATTTAAATTCAATTTTTTCAGTGTCAATTTTTTAGTCGCTTATATTTCTCTTTTATATTTTTGGTAATGTGATCGTGAATTAAAGCTTTTTATATAAAGTGTATTGTTTAGTGATATTTTTTTACTCTATTAAACATGTATTCCAAAAATTTTTATTTTTTTCATTAAGTTCGAAAATTGTCCTCATTTCGTTTCTTTTCTCGATGTATAGACACCTAAAACTATTCTTACTGTGTGCACATCATACAACACATTCATTGATCAAAGTGTAAACAATAAATACTATTTTTACTGTGAACCGTTCAATCCGCAGAATAACAACACCAGTCAGTTACATTAATAAAGCAAAATTACAGATGTATTTTCCTCAAACGTTACAAATATCTGTACGTTCCAAAAATTTTTAAATCTTTGTGTACTTCCAAAGTCTCCCAAAAATAAAGAGCATTTCAAAATGTGTTGTTCTGTTTGAAATCTTAAAATCACGATGAGCCACACTTGAATTTAAAATCTTGAAAATTTTAAACGAGCTGGATTCTACAGAATTCGTAAAAATGTGCACAGCAAATATGATACATAAAAAAGTAACCGTGATAAAGTAATTGAACAAAAAGTGATAGGTAAGTAACGTTGTGCTTCATGGTAACCCTCGTAGTAGTGACAAAATCTATCACATTACGGAAGTTTGGAGCAGAAATTAAGCGCCAATCAACAAGAGGTAAGTTACATTGTCACTGTCTTTTTTTATAAAGTCATCAGACTTTCTTTTGTATTTTATAATCATTGTTCAGTATTTTAAATACGGTAATTACACTTCCCTTTCCTGTTTTCAACTGACGTAAAAAAGATAAAGGCAAGAAAATGTGTAAGTTCGTTTGTTAAAAGCAGAATCAATGAAAAATTAATTAAACAAACTTGAAACGTCTGTAAGCCCTCTTCCTAATTGACGTCACTGGTTTTGAGACGCCACTGGTGTTGATAGTGTGTCCTGATTATCGGCTGAAAATGGAACCAAAAATTTAGAACCCAGTGTTTTAGTGTTTTTTAAGTCGTTTCGAAAGAAGTTGACCCAAAAACGGTTGGTTTGGATGGTTTTTGGATTTAATTTGTAAAAAAGGGCGCCATCTAGGAAGGCGGTTAGTAAACGCTCGAAATTTGAAAGTGGAGTACGTGAGCAAGCGCTTGCGTGCAGACGGTTGAGAAGCCAGCGCCAACTAGAATCATTTCGAGAATGCAGGGGAAGTGTGTACTACTCTTGTGTTTTTCTTAGAGTTTGTGTTTATTTCTTGTGAGATCGAGTATTGAAACTGTTTGCGAACGTTAGCCTCTTAACCAGTGATCGCTAATGCTTTCACGTGAATGTGTGTAGCAAACTTGAATTATTTTGTAAGAAATTTTCTACGGAAAGACAGTTAGTCAGACAATATGGCGGATAATGCACTCGGATACTCTGACACCCAAAAATTTTGCTTTGAGTAAGTTAATTTAACATTCAATTGACAATTTCGGCAATTGAAAAGACTCTTTATTCTATTTATATTCAGGTCATCAAGTCGCCTTCATTCAACTCCTCGTCATTCGCAAACAAAACATAATCGTTTCCCCTAACGTTCTCAATCGAATTTGTGTTCAAATTAAATCGTTACTGTTTTTTTGAATAGAAATTGGCCGTGTCGCGCAGGTTTACTCCGAAAATCGGGCGTCGGGTTTCCGTTCGCGTTTTCGGGAGCAGGTGCGCTCGAAGGGGGCCCACCTGGACCCTCTTGGCGGGAAGAAAACCGCCAAAAATTGCAAAAGCCCGCGAAATCATCGCCGCCTTCGTGTTTTAGGTATTACGAGAAGAATTCCTGCAAGAAGCTCGGGTGTGCCTTCATCCACAAGAAAAAGGCAAATATCGAAGTCGTCCAAGTGAAGGCTAAGGAGGGCTTCGTGATCGGGAGATGTAGCAGCATCCCCCTCTGCCGCTACTTTCTGAGAGGGTACTGCACACACGCAGGCAATTGTCGATTCCGCCATGAAATTAGGCCAGTAAACAAGCTTAATGTACCAAATACTACTAGTAATCAGTCCTCAAGGTAGTATCATTCAGCGTGTTAAGACTGTATTAAGAAAGCTATTTTAGCACAAATACGCCATCTACCTCTGCAACTGAGTTGCGCTTGCAAGACGCCCATAAGAATGCTAAGAATGGTACGAAACTAACAGAAATTGCTTCTGGTAACGCTTCTGCACTCTCAAATATGAATAATAGGTGAGTTTGGCCATCTTTCACCAAATTATACTTTCACTCTTTTGTAATAATTAACTTTCTTTGGTCATTAATTGTCTAGTGAATATTTATATTTTTCTAGTTACATAAAATAATGTAATTGAAAAATTTTAAAACTTTGCAGAATCGTCGACGTTTTTTGAGCTGCTTGTTATCGATGATTTCATTCTTGTACTCACCTGTGTTGACAAAATTTGCACTTATGTTTTCTGTGTTGATGTTTTGCTTAATTTTTCGAAATGTGGAGCTAGCTGACTAAGAAATGCAGATGTTTGATTTCTTTCATCAAGTATCCCAGAAATTTGGCATGGAAGGTAAAACAAATTTTTTGTTTAAAATTGATCATTAAGTTTTACACCATATTTACCATAATAATCACAAAATATATTTATAGTATCATTTCGTGGTAAGTTAAATCACTGAACATGTAGTTTGCAATGTGGTTTTTTTTTCACAGCCAACTCACGTTCAGTGCATCCAGAAACTAAAACTTCTCGTTAATACAAAGTTTCACAAACAAAAAACTACTTATGTCACAGCTTTTTACAAAGTTGGCACCATCCGAACTACTAAAACCTTGTGAGAAAAAAGGCGATTTATTGTGCCATAAACACTTTTTTATATAATTTTTAATAATTTTGCTTCATTGACATCTAATAATCTTTAGTAATAAATTTGACTCTGCGACAAGGACCCATAAAGAAGCACAAAAAGATACAAATCGTAAATAATGGGAAAATATATAACAAGGCTACAGTAAACCCAATTTATAGTGTCATGATTGATGGTTAATAGAAAAAATAAATTTTTGGTGAATGATTTAAAGCCACGAACTTGGTAGAATTTAGGACAAAATACATCTTCTAAAATTAATTCACACCCTCCAAATAGGTGATGATGTCATCTCCAAAAATTATCAAGTACATACGAAAAATGTGTTTCAGATGCGATTTTGTTTATGCTTTACTAATATGCTTTTATTTTTTGGCAATGCTTTTTTAATATAATAACGTCATGCTTTAGTGGTAAGAGTTTCGACGGGTTTTGTTCATACAACAAACAAACGTTAAAAAAGTAGCACACGTGATTCATGGTGGTTTTTGTAGTTGAAATCACAATAGTAAATCGGATTTTTGTTCATATTTGTTTTCTGATAGCTGCATTACGTGTTTGGTATCGATTATTAAACAAATAGGTATTTAAGGTGTTGCATACACGTTTTTGTTATGCATGTTTATTTTTTGCAGCACAAAAGGCAAAGTTGATAAAGTAATATTTAAGAAAATTCGCCATTGATTTGTTTTAAAATTGTTCATTGGATTAGATTTGCCCGTTGCACAATCTTTCACGTTGAAATTGAGCCTGGTTTGGAATTTTATTTATAAATCGTTTAACATTGCGTAATGTTAGAGGCATTTAACTTATCTTCGCGCTTAAAAGTGTATCATGTCTTCTGTTTTGAGAATTTTAAACAATATTTTTTGCTTTTCAAATTTCAAAATACTGTTTGCTATTTCAATTAGTAATGTTTTGTTTGCTTCAATGTAGAATGCCACCCATAAAAATACACAGTCCATTGTTCTTGCTGTTTTTAAGTAAATAAAAAAAAAATATTTTCTTTATTTCTTAAGATTTTATTACCTTTTTGTGACGCTCATTCAATTAACAACACAATTACTCAATCAATAAAACGTAAAGTCATCACAATAAACATCTTACACAGCGCGGCACGATTTTCCTATAAATAAAATCTAGCTAAGTATGTCACGTTACAACATTTCGAGAAAGAAAAAATAATTCGCCCATTAGTAATTTACTCATGGTTGACCTTTAAATGTCTGACTTTCAGCGAATCTGAAGACACTCTCATGCCCAGTACCGAGGGAGCAACATGTTCCCCACTAAAAGATTCCCTTTGGGTGAACGCACCAGAATTCGTGCCAAAATACAGCATTGTCGCGAAACCTTTAAGTTACGCAGCGGCTGTCAACCCAAACGGAGCTGTCGCAAATAACAACAGCACAAAACAACTTTGCCCATACGCTAACAAAGATGGTTTCTGCAAGTATCCCCCAGGTGAATGCAGTTACCTCCACGGAGAAATTTGTGATTTGTGCGGCAACGCCGCGTTACACCCAGTGGACGAAGAACTACGAAAGAAACACCGCCAAGACTGTATTAAACAACACGAGAAGAACATGGAACTCTCGTTTGCCATTGCCAGGTCGAAGGAGAAGAGTTGCGGGATTTGCTTCGAGGTAATTATGGAGAAGGCGAACGGTGAACAGAGATTCGGGATCTTGCCCAATTGTAACCACTGCTTCTGCTTGAGCTGCATCAGGAAGTGGAGACAAGCGAGGCAGTTCGAGAACAAGATCATCAGGTAAGCCATGCATGCGCATACAAAATACACGAATGTGCCGCTTACTTCAAAAGAAACGGTAGTATGGTTACCTTTCGTAAAAATTCGTTCCACTATGTGCCGCTTACTCTAAACGAAACTCGTTCGTGGCTTCGCGAATGTTCTGTTTTTGCACGGATTGTTGTTCCAGGGCTTGCCCCGAGTGTCGCGTGACGTCTGATTTCGTGTGCCCGAGTTTGTTCTGGGTGGACACGAAAGAAGACAAAAACAAGTTAATTGATGATTACAAGACGGCACTTTCTACAAAAGACTGCAAATACTTCGATAAAGGGGTTGGTAAATGCCCATTTGGGAACAAATGTTTTTATCGTCACGCGTTTCCTGATGGTCGAGTTTGTGATGTTGGGCCGCCGCCCCGTCAGAGACGTGCAACTAGAGGGTTTGATAATGCTGCGATTGAAGTTCTTCAGGTATTTGTTAGAATTTGTGTTGTGTTTTATTTGACGAATATTTGTAGCAAGTTATCTTGTGGGACTTCTTGGATGAGAGAGAGAATCCGTGGCAGTCTCTAGCGGAAGATTTAGAAGATCTGGCAGATTTTTTTTCCGATTCCGATGAGTCAGATTGGTCTGACTACGATCTGTTTATAAATTAGACAGTCTAATAGTTTGATTTCACTTCAACGTTTCAATTCAGTTTTGTATTTATGGGTTTAAGTTGTTAAAGTGAAGAAAATTAAGTAAGCAGAAGTCTTTATTCCTGTTAATAATTTCTTGTAAATAATGTTTGTTACAATGGTATTGTCTTATTTAATAGAAGGAGTATAGCAATGACACGAGTTATTGCTTGTAACTTAGGAGTTAGAGAAAATGTTCAAGCCTCTCTGTTTTTTTTTTAAGCTATACATTTAATGCATATACATTTCTTTGTTGCTTCAGCCATGTGTTATTAACAATTTTATGAAATATTTTAATGCTTTTGTTTAACACATAGCTATGCAACTGTAGTGTATTGGCCATGTTTAAATATGTATTCAAATTTGTGTTAGTACCAGAGAAACCTCTGATGTTACTTTGTTTCAAAGGCCAGTACCGTTTATATTTTTTCCAAGAAAAACATTTTTGCCTTAAATACTGACATGAGGAACGTCATGTAATTTGATCTTGTTTCTCATTAATTCCATTACTTGGCCATTTAGTTAGGTTTTGTTTTGAAAAAACGTTTCTCAATTATTATATACGCAGTTTTTATATATATTATTAGCGCATGTCTCCAGGGCGACCAGTTTTTACATATTACACCGCAGCTATGTAGTTTCGTTTTACCTCATTGTAAATTCAATATCTTGTCAATAAATTTGTTGTCACTCTATAATTGCGTTTCTCATGGTGCTCATGCAGATAAAATTGGAAACGGGCTGCAGAACAGAGCCTGATACAGATCTGTGATTGTTAGCTTTGTAGGATTAAAAAGTTTAGTTCTAGTATACCGTTGATTCATCTTATCCTTTTGTTATTGTCAAAAACTCAAATTAAACAAATTTCAAAATAGTAAGACATTTCAAGCAATACTAAATGTTTACCTAGAGCTTGTATATTGTCCTATAGGTTTACACTGTTTTGCTTGTGTATGTTCATTACAACATTAGTCATTATATTTTAGTTCATTTGCTTGTATTATATGTATATTATTAAAACAAACTTGGTTGGGGTGGAATAGTTTTAAAAATAATTTCCAGTATATCCAACCCAAAATAAATTAATTATTATTAACATCGGTTTTTTTTAACAGGAAATTCTGTATTACGTACTTATTCCAATAAAATAGTTGCTCCAGTACACAACGTCTTTTCTTATGTGACACATTTGAATCACTTTCGCGCGCTTTTAACTGTCAAAGTATGACATAACCCAACTTTGTGGTCACTCTGTTTTGATTCCGAAAAGAACGTTTTAGGGGCACTGAAATGGGTCTAGTTGAAATTTTTTCGACCGTAAGTACCATTATTCAATTATGACTAGGTTTTTATCAAAATTCTTGTAGCTAAATATGGCAATTAATCATGAACACGAAGAACTGATAAGTTTATTAACGTACCTCGCACACCAGCCTGTTGAAACAATCGTAGATATAGAAAGCACCACAAAAATGGTTTCTGCTTTAATATCGCAACTTTTCGACAAAGATTTTGAAAATAAATTTTTAAACATGTTACATAACCTCAATGACTGCAACCAAATACACGTGTCCAACAATAACAATGTTTTTAAAATACATATCCGGGATACATTCGTCTTTAAATTCCTGCTTATTGTGTCGTTAAAATACAGGAAAAGCCTCTTTATTCAATCAAACAGTACAAAAAGATTTGTTCAAACACTAGTAGAAGAAATTCTTAAAACGATCGATATTCTAAAGTATCAAAGTTCTTATTTGTTAAGGTTTCTCGAGATGATTTTGAGGAAGCGGGAGGATGTCTTGACACCCGATTTATCGCTGTTAATCCTTCAAAACATGAATAAAGCGGCATTTTCTCCATTAACAGGTTTTAAAAACTGTGCCCAGAATGTGAGTAGACTCATATTGAGGTCGTTGCCTCACGCTACGAAGAAGTATTTGTGCAATTTTAACAACCTTCCAATTAAAGGCATTGATTTAAACGATATTTTAAAGCACTGCGAAGAAAAAGAAATTCGCATTGTTTTCACCTTAATCAACAAACAAATTTTAAAATTATTTTGTAATAACACCGATAGCAGAGATGGTTCTTTTTACTACAAAGCGATAACAAGCATTTGTAACTTTGACGAATTCGTCGAAGAAATATGGCCACATTATAGCCACCATTTTCAAAATTTCGATGAAGGGTAAGTGCAAACAGCTGAAAAAAAATCCGTTAGTGTAAACTTGGTTTTAGGGAATTTTATCAAAGTTTTTTGAAGTATTGGATCCCGATAACCGTGAAAGAGTACAAAAGCGACTTTTACACGTTCATTGCTGAAAAAGACGACGTCGACTTTCAATTAAAAGCGTACACGTTACTGGAAACACGCAAAAATGGTTTTTATGACAACTCGTTCGATTTAGACACTTTCAATTTCTTAAAATACGCGAAAACTAGCCACATAGGTTTGAAAATTGTTTGTACGTACTTAAAGAAGCAAATGAAGCCGGACGATTTTGAACTAAATGCTGCTCTGTTTTATCTCAATCACTACTCCCACTCTGAGTTCCCTGATGAAGTTTTGAAAACTCTGAAACATTTGTTTTCGCAAATATTTTTGAACGGTCACATGAATTTGTACAAGTCGGATCTTGCAGATGTACAACTACACCTAAATTTTTTGACTTCGGTTTATCGATTTTGTGGCCGAATTTTAAATGGTGTCAATTATGAAGTGTCCGCGCAACTTCTTAAACTCGTGTGGGATGTGGCGTCAGGTTCTTCTTCCGTTTTAGTCACTTGTTTTAAAATTGATCGAGAAAATGCGTATGAAGTTGGGGGAAATTTATTGTATCAAAAACTACTAAATACAGGCTTTTGGGGAGATACTTTTGGAAGTTTGTTGTTAGTAAATTGTATGGAAAGCCTTCTTGTTCGTGAATTTAAGTATTGCCCGAAGTTAATTCAAGTCGTTAAAGAAAGATACTTAGATGTCATTAACTTGGAAAGCTTGTCAAATATGACTAAGCTTTTAGAAGTTGTAAGTGAAACGGTTTGTTTACAAAGTTCTGAAAAAATTCGCGCCTATGCAGATCTAATTGTATCGTACAAAAAATTACAAGTCGAAGATATTGTAAAGCTGTGCCATATTTTTGAAAATACAGTCCATAATTTTGATCCGCCAAGTATGTTCGTTTGTGTTTTAATCTTAGACATACTAGCAGTCGTTATCACTTACGATGATATCAATGTTAATGCGTTGATAGAAAAAAGTTTGGATTTTTTTGCCAATATTTTCGACGACGATCTTAGCAGTGGTCTAAACACAAAAGACTATAAAGTCCTCGAGTCCCTCATCAACGTAAGTAGTAAAAATTTTTGTTGGCGATTTTGATTGTCAGTAATGTCTATAGAACGTCATCGAGTGTTTGACACTTTCAAAATCCCATTGGTCCGAACTGAACAAAGAGCGACTTTTGGACCACCTGTGTAAAATAATCCAAAGAAGCAACATGAAACGACCGGTTTCTCTGGCCGCCAACTTCGTCAATTTCTTCGGCTCGTCAATGGAATCAGACGAAGACAAAACACTGAAAATAAAATTATTAGACCGAACTTTAAGGTCGCTTTATCATAATAAACAAAGTGGAAAAATTAGACGAAATCCGGAAACCCGACTCGTCATTCACGCTTTGTGTCTTTCAGATAAGAATCTAAACAAGGTAGAATTGAAATGAATTCAAACTTCTTCCACATTAGTTTCTTTGTAGCCATTTCTGGTCTCATCTTTAAATTTCATGCTTGAAGTCCTCTCAAATCCATTATCTTCAGATTCGACTTTATCGTCAACTTTACACAGTTTAGAAGTGTTAGTGTCGGATAATTCGATTCATCAATACACGCTTTCGTTTATTGTGGACATCATCAAGCACTGTATTCGTCTTTTTAACAAACCGAGTTGGATTGTCAGGTGAATAAGTCACGTAGCGACTGGAAATTCCAATTGTAGATTCTTATTGGTTGTGCGGTTTCAAAAAAATCGACCATTGTTGCCAAATTAGAACCTATAACTTGAATTTCCCGCTCAAATTTAAATTTCCGCTAACAGAATTTTCACTACATGGTGCTTAAAATGAGTTTTTTTTAGGAATGCCGATCTGCAACTCATGAAGTCGTTGATCGAGCGATTTTTAGGAGTTTCTCTGGACGAAATCACCCGACCGAAGACAATCGAGGATTTATTCATGTTATTTCCCTCCCTCGTTTCTCATTTTTATGAAGTTTTATCAAAAAAAGAACTAAACGATAGCGCTATTTTAGTGCTTTTGTTTTTCTCGGAATCGCAAATCAAAAATGACATGTTCGTCCAAACCTGTCTAAGGAGAGATTTTGAAAAATTCCGCCACTTGTTTGTTCGGATTATGAAAAATTATTCAAACAATGCGGGATTTTTGGCTATCAGGGCTTTCACGTCGTTGTGTCCGAGTGATAAAATTCCTTCCGTTTTTTCGGAAGTGGTGTATTATATCCAACGGGAGTTCGTGCACATGGACAAGAACGTTTTCGCGAATTTAATTAAACTTCTTCAGGAACTGGATCATAAGTACAAATCGTCGCTAGTCCGAACACGTGAAGGTGTTATCAGTCGTGCTGTGGATGCTCTAGTTAATTATTTAAAGCCATTTAATTGTTTATATTTTAATTTATTATCAGTAAGGTTGTGTACAGTTGAGGACTTATCTGATAAAATCGTCGCGTCTCTTACTGATGAAATAGACTATAAAAAACGCATTTGGCTTAATAATTACATTCCTTTCGTGGTTGCAGAAATCGGGTTTGCTCATCTGGGAATTTTATTAAATAGGATATTACAGTGTCATTTACCCGAATTCTTACAAATTAGAATATTGTCGATTTTGGTGGATAAATCGACTCATAAGTCGTTTCCGGCGACTGCAGTCCTGAAAGTTTTGGTTTTAAAGTTGGCCACGTTGTCCGATGATCAGACATTTTTAATCATGGCCTACTCTAAAACGATTTTGTTAATCTACGAGTTCACACGTGACTTAAGTTTATCGAGTGATTTAATTGCTCAGATTAGACAAGATTTTCAGACCGAGTGTATTTACAAAGTCTTTATTTACGTTTTGGCTTTAGCTCGTTCTGACTTTAAGACTAATGACGAAGTATTTTTAAAGAAATGGGTTAAAAAATACGTGGACGCCATAGACCAAGACGAAGTTTTGGTCGATTTATCCATCACTATAACACATTTATATGGACTTGTGTCAACTGAAGACAGATATGTTGTAATAAAATTAATTTTTTATTTATTGTTAAACGAATCTACTTGTTTTGAAATGTGTAAGTTCGTGTCGTCGTTGACAAATTCGCATTGTTCTTCAGTTTTAGTTAGTCTTGTTAATTTGCTGAATTGTGAAAATTTGATGAGTTATGTAGGTGAAAAGACATTAGTTTTTAAATTGCTATTTGAATTTTATGATTATGTTGATAGTTTATCTGATGATTTGGTAGAATCTGACACCTACTATTTAATTGAAAATGATTGTTCTTTACCTAAGCGGTATATTAAAATGATAATACTTAAATCGTTAAGCGCTTGTACAACGAGAAGTGCTGAACTTTGTAAAACTTGAATAAATTTTTTTGTTGAAAAGTTGTCAAATTTTTAGTCTTGTAGATGAAGTGTCACGTTTTTAGTTTGGAAGTATACGGTCAAAGTAGTGTGTTGTTAGTGTAGTTATTCACGTCGGTCGGTTAGGTGTTGTGTTTTTAATCTAGTAGACAATAAAACAATATTGCCTACAGTTTCATGACCCCCTCAACAGTGAAACCCCCATATATATATATACAGTGGGTTGTATATCTTGTAGGAAATTGAATAAATGCGATATTATTTCCTCAAAATTACATTGAAATCTTCATGACTGGCTTTATTTAATTATGATAACTGCACAATACAGTTGTATAGTGGGTGTTCAACTTACAGCAGAAGTGTAGCGACACCTAAACACAAGATGTTAATTTTGCCTTTGATCATTACTTATTTGATTAGCAAAGGTACGATCTTTCAAACTTTCCATTTTCCCCAATATATGTTTTAGCTACCCTCATGGATGTAGATACTTCCGCGGAAAAACTTTTTCTTCAGTTCCAGGGTGCACTCAGTTACATGTTAGAGACTCAAATAGTACGAAACATCAGCGAAGACGTCAGTTTTAATCTTTACACCCGAAAAAATCCACAAGTAGCTCAGATTCTCCCACCGACTTATCCCTCTCTACTACCGCTATCCTACTTCAATCCAAAATTGAAATGCTATTTTGTGATTCACGGATACACCGACCACAAACATCGTGAAATTATCGCCCGCTTACGCCAAGGTAACCGTTGTTCTATTGAAAAAGTCATGAAGTTGGCGGTATAGATATTTACAAAAAATCAAAGCCAATTTGATGACTTTTTCAACAGTATACCCGATATGTAACTTTGCTGATTTTGACAACTCTGTCTGGTAGGAGGTTTGTGGTCAAACTATCAAAGTTTCTTTTCCTTTCAGTACTCAATAACGCTGAGGACTCTAACGTTATCGTCGTTGACTGGGGTCGGTTAGCCGCTTTCATGTATCTCCAAGCGGTTGATAACACGGTTCCCGTGGGAACCTACGTAGGACAGTTCTTATCGTTGCTAGAACAAAATAACTATATAGATTTACGGAACATCCACATGATAGGCCACAGCTTAGGTGCTCATATTTCAGGGATAGCCGGCGCGTATGTCGGAGGCAGGGTGGGCAGGATCACCGGTACAAGGCCGAAAGAAAGTCCTCTGCAAGTTTTGAAATTTAATATTAAAAAAATGATATTGGCAACTCTGTTCGATGTCAAATAGGTGCCAACGTGATTATTTTAAAGATAAATTTCATGGCCTACAGAACTTTTTTTTTTATCGGTTATAACGTAACCAGCCGGATTTCTAGGTCTAGATCCCGCAGGACCCCTCTTCGAATTACTCGAAGAAAGAGATGAATCCGTGTCTTTAGACAAAAGTGACGCTCTTTTCGTCGACGTGATTCACACCGACGCCGAAGAATTCGGTATAACCAAACCGATAGGTCATGCTGATTTTTATCCGAATGAGGGAACGTCGCCCCAACCGGGCTGTAACAACATACTGACTTCTGGTTGGTACTTTTATTTCGCAGTAGATAATCGTTGTTTCTTATAGTGTCTTGCAGCCACATCAGGTCCGTCTTATTTTACACAGAATCGGTCATTAACGAGTATCCGTTTGAGGCTAGGCGTTGTAACGTGACAGGAAGCGGCGACCCGTGTCTACAAGAGAAACCGGTTCATATGGGACATCACCTGTCACCAGAGTAGGTACAAAAGACGTGGTACACGAGATGTAATCGACAATTAGTTTCAAAAAACTATACTTTCTTTGGCGAGCGAAGCGAGCTGCAACCTTACAATTCTGCCTCAGATTTTCTGTACTAGTCAATATTTTCGAATATTTAGACAATTCAGTACTCGAAAGTAGAATAATAACAGTGCTTACGTCACGTTTTTGGGTGCTACTTGTCAGTTTTTTTCAATTGTTTGTAATTTTTTTTTTTTTGAAAAGCTTGTCTTGTCAATAAATCGACACACATTTATCTTATTTGTTGAAAAAATGTTGACAGTGTTTGTTCAAACTATTATCAAATTATGAAGGATGAGTGTTGACTGGAAAAAAAAATAACGCGATGCCTGTGATTTGCTGCTTGACCAACGGAATGTGAAATCAATTTGACTGCGGGTTAGAGTTGCGGTCATAGCGTTATCTAGGTCGTGAAAAACAGCTTCACTTTGACCGACAACGTTGGTGTAAACGTTGCTTTATTGTGCTCGTATCGTTGACAATTTGAATACGTGTTGATAACCTGGCGCAGTATGCAAATGACTAAATTTCCTCTACGTTGTGTTTTAGGTCCCGAGGGATATATTTTTTGGAAACGAATGCAGAGCCCCCTTTCGCCAAACGTCAGACGACTCAAAAGTGTCAGGACTGACGATTTTAGGATTTCGACTGGGTGAATTAAGTTCATGTAAATTTGTAACGTGGCTCATAAATAAATGCGTGTGAAGTTGATTTGCATTTAATTTTCCTACGATTTGAATTGAAACTGCTTCCTAAGGGCAAAGGCCAAAGTAGTGTCCTCAACGCTTAAATAAAAAGCAGTTCGTGACGTCATTTAAAATGTTGAACCGACGTGTGTCAGTATGAACCGAGTTTGTCAATTTTCACACAAATATCGGGGTTTTCCATATTTTGATAAGTAGTCAGTTTGAATGTTTTTATCTGCGTCAAATATGAGGGAGGAGTATGAAATTGTCATTTACGGTTTGACAATCCACGAGCAGTACATATTTTGCAGAGTGAGTATATTGTTTCGGAGTTCTGGTATGGTAGCGAGTGCGCACTTTCGCTATAAATTAAAGATGATCGAAATCTGATTAAGTTTATTTCTGTCTTTTCTCGGAATAAATTTAAAATAAAAGTTAGAGCGCTGATTTTTTGAACCGTGCGTGTACCTTGCAGTACGTAAACTTTCCGCCGCCCCACTCTTTTTTGTTGCAGTGCGCAGCAATTCGCTAAAATTTATACATTGATGTGTATTCCAAGATCGTGTTGGACAGGTGTAAGTTGTTAACCCGTGCAATATAATTAAAGTGAACTCAGTAAAGTGACTTAAGTCATCAGAATTTGACTTAAAAGTGCAATAAATCTAGTTACCGTGGACTGTCAAACGCAATTTATTGTAAAACCGTATGACCGGTCTAGCAATCCGATCTGTCATCCTGTTAATTGTCATCAGATATTTATAATCGCCCGAAATAATTGTTGATGATGAAGTTTGTGAAACAAAACCAGTGCAAGAAGGTGTGAAATCGTCGAGGATGTCGAAAAGCCAGTGAAAATGCTCCTCCCAAGGAGAAACAGTTTTATTTTAAATTCCCAGAAATTTTTAGGTTAAGTTGCTGTGAAACTGTGCAAAAACTCCAAACAAAATGTTATCGCTAAAGAAAGTGTACAGAGACGAACTCCTCCAGCTCGCTCTCATCCTGAGCTTACTCAGAGGCAACAGTGGACCCTATTTCGAAAACGATCTCTTTAATAACAGCCCCAATTACGACTTCGACAACGGAACGAGCTGGAGATCTCTGACACCGACGGTCCTGCGGTCGCATTTCGTGCACCCCAAGAGCCTCGATTCAGTGCTGCTTAACTACGAACGTGAATTATTCGCCGACTTAAACTTGCTAGGAAGATACAATCGGGACAGCTATCGACATCCAGATGTCACAGCCTATTTGCTTAACATCGAACGGACTACAGGGGCCCCCTTGGCCACCCAAGATGTGCCTGCGGATATCATCACGACTCAAAACCAGAACGAGGAGAGCGCCAGCTCGAACGAAGCCTCGTCTGGCCCCATCGATGTAGGACTCGAACTCACTCAGGAGGTTTGTTGTAAATTAGTGATAAGCGTATCAATAGCGTCTTAAACGGTGATTCATTCTGTGCACAATCACACGGCTTCAAACACTTGTTGCTACATTTTCAAAAACTTGCTCATGGTTAATTCACTAAATTACTCGAATATAATTATTTAACGCTGATAATTAGTGGAAAAACGCGGTTAAGCAAGTAGGTTTGTATGTGGGACTGCAGAATAATTACGCTACGTTTTACCCATGTAGTGGATGTAAACTTCAACCTTATAAATTGCGTCATTAATTATTGTTTACTTGCATCGTTATTGTGGTGTTGCCACAAAAAGACACATTCGCAGTTTTGGTACCCAAAACATTCTCCTTTTTGACATTCAAACTCAATTCAGAGTGTAATATTAGAAAAACGATAACGTTTGTGGTTATCGAATTATTATGGTTGCGAATTATGTTGGCGATCGGGGGAGATATGTACTATAGATATTTTTTAGCCAGTCATTATCGTTGTAATACAGAAATTTGTTGATATGACATGTTTTTCTATTGTCATTAAACTTTCTTATCTCGCTAACAGTGCACTTTTTTTGTCACTAATAATTATTTCATATGATGTAGTACAACGGTTCGCTAGTTTCAAAGTCTTGCCGTTAATGTAATAACTACATTATCGTCAATAAAGTTTTATGAAGCAAAACATTTTTTATTTGACGATTGATTAACTCAGAAACGCTTAAAACACCGCTTAAACTTTATTCCCAATGGCAACCATGGTTTGAGAATGAAATACATCCCACAACCTGTGTTCTTCTAGTATATTGGTTTAATAAATGTATTTTTTATTATCGTAACCGATTTTCACTATATTATGTTTATTTAAGCTCGAGCGAAGCGAATGTTTAAAAACGAGTGCCTATGAAAAAGTCTTCTAAATTAACCAGATTTCAGATTGTTTTTTAGACAACGCACTCAAGATGTGACTAATGAGCTCGAATACATCGTTGAACCGCGTTTAAAGAGTCAAAAACGACGGATTATGAAACTGTGATTAAAATATCATTCAGCGCTGTGTACAGGGTTTTAGATGCTGGAGTAGAAAAAATGTATTATATACACCGCAAATTTATCATGACGTATGTCAAAGTGTTCAGTTTAAAAATTGGTCGAAAGCTGTTTCGACAGAACTTCACTCGCACCTAAAGTACAGTGAAACATAGTCAGCATTTTTGAGTTGAGTTTTTACTTTACAGAATTTTGTGATGACATTTTTTGCAAGGACACGTATATCAACTTGGATTGGTGCACTGTAATACTAAAAATAACAGTATTGTATTCCCAAAATTTTCTGGGAGAATGGAGTGAGCCGTTCTTGATTTAACCAATAAAATAAATTGATACATTCATTAATTTTTGTGAGTCACCTGTATAAGCCAATCTAAAAAAAAATAATACCAATGATGACGCACAAGTAAAAACTCATGATATTTTGCGCATTTCTGGTAGATTTAGGAATTTAACTCGTTACCATGGAAATTTGTAACTTAACACCTTTAAATGTCACAAGTTTTTACAAGATTAATACTTGTGAAATTAATTACTAGGCCCGCCCACCCGCCCCCTATTTGCTCAGAGAATATGTCATTTGCCGAAATAAGTCTTATCTTAGCAAGTACTAGCCCCATCCACCCTTTACTTTCTTAGAGTGTATATCATTTGCCAAAATCAGTCTCGTCTTACCAATACTAGCCCCGCCCACCCGCCCCTATTTTCTCAGAGGATATGTCATTTGCCAAAATAAGACTTATGTTATCAAGTACTAGCCCCGTCCAGCCGCCCTTTATTTTCTCAGAAGATAGTACTTGCTAAGATAAGTCTTATTTTGGCGAACGTCATACCCTCTGAGAAAATAGGGGCGGGTGGGTGGGGCTAGCACTTGCTAAGATAAGAATGATTTTGCCCCTGTTAAACTTGTAAAATTAAACTTGTTAAATTTAAAAGGTGTTAAATTGCAAATTTCCATTAATTTTTTTGAGTAATCCTGTTTAAGGAAATCTAAAAAATATGAACAAATTATTATGCTTACCATAAATTTAAAACATCTGCAAGATTTCAAAGCATTCAGTTTGGCAGATTTAAAATTAAATTACAAAATGTTGTTATATAATTTTGTTTTTTTTTCCTAAAATTTGGACGTTTCCAGTAAAAACTCAACACAGAGTCATAAACTACATGTGTAGGACTATGTTATTTTATACAATTTAACACATTATTGGTGGCGATGATTAGACAAATTTTGGTTAGCGTTTTACCATCTACATGATATTCCTAATATAAATACAAAATTTGACAACAATCGGCTCAGTACTTTCGAGATTATCTTTTTAATAAAAATCTAGGACGGCAGACAGACAGACGGACAAACAAACAGAAACGGGAGGACTATTTCTTCGTACTGTACGGTTTATGAAAGATCGAGAAAATGTAAAAGAGAGTCGGCCGACGGACTCTTTTACAAAAAATGAAGTACAATGAAACATATCCAGTACTAATAATAATGTATTACGCCCCCCACAATTTTCGGAAAAATGGAGTGAGCGGTTCTTGATTTATCAATAAAGTAAATTAATCCATTCATAAACCACATTTGACATGACGGTATCAATTTTTTGGGGGGATAAACAGATATATTTTGATTAAAAATTTACCATGTCTGCAATAAATTGAAAACGTCTGCAAGATTTCAAGGCATTCGATTAATTTTTTTTTTTTGCATCACCCTGTATAAGTAAATCGAAAAAATATGAATACAAATGCAGTAATTTTAAAAGTGCACACTATTGAATGATCAAAAAGCCAAAACAAGAATGAGAAACGATATTACAAACACAACTGAGGCGGCAGCTCTTTATGCAGGTGGCAAGTCATAAATTACTGGAACGCCCGAAAGTGGCCAACTTTGCATTTTGCACAATCTCGATGTCATATATGTCAATAAACGGTCAGTCGGAAGAGGAATTAAAAACAAATAAACTCTATTTTCCGTTACATTAAGCCAGAAGGAGTCCAGCATCACAAGCATATCCGTATAAACCGTCTCCGTACAAGTACGAACATTCTAAAATTTATTTACAGCACATTACCAACAGGAAAAGTGGTATTTCAGCAATATGCGCAGTGTTTAAAATGTTTATGTTGATACATCGGAAGAATGTCCCGTAGATATTTGTTTAATTCGAATGAGTTTGTCGCCTCAAAACAGATGACTCTATTAATAAACCTCAATTGACCAAAATATTCTGAATGTTATTACTGTAATTCTTACTTTATTGTTATAAAGACAAGCGTATTCTTACATTTTCGAGAAAATGTAAGAATACTCGTTATTAATTTCATCAATTAAAATGAAAGAGTGATTAATTTTATTAAATTTATTTTAATTGAAAAAAAAAAAGAATGTGTGCGCCCGCTGGTTTCATACCTTCGACCCTGTGTCGATAAGCTGGATATTATGTTGATATAAAGACAAGACAAAGCAATAAACCAATATAGCAATAATAAACAAAATCAAGATAATATTCATAAACCATAAGTAGAGAAGTATATAATTTCATACAAAATCTGTAATGTTAGTTATGCAATATAGTGAGCGGACGTCACCGAATTGGTAGGGGTGATTATCCAAATTTTGATCAGCGTTTTACCATCTGCAGGATATTCCTAATATACATACAAAATTTTACAAAAATCGGTCCAGTAGTTTTGGAGATAATCTGCCTAATAAATATCCGGACAGACGGCAGACAGACAGGCAGACGGACGGACGGACGGAAACGGGAGACCTATTTCTTCGTACTCTAAAGGTCATGAAAGGGCGAGAAAATGTAATAGTAGAGAGTCGGCCGACGCTTACGCTCGGGAAGTAAAAATAGCGAAAACCAAATTTAATGACAAGTTGTGCAGTCATTTTTGTGTATTTTTTAGTCGTATGAATTATCAAATTATTTTTTATTTAATTTCTTAATAGTTGTCCGGTTTTTAGAGAAACTTTCACAATGTTCTTGTCTAATTTATTAAACTAAGAAAATTATTTTTGATGGTCATGTGTAAAATTGTAGCATTTTTTATTTTATAATTCGATTGTGCTGTGCGCATGTAACAAGCTAAAAAACAACAGAATAAGTTACGTTTTTTACGTTACAAAAGCAATGTGAGTTTATTGTCGGACGGGAGTTAATACTGTGTAATTTTTCCCTCGGTTGTTGTACACTACTCAACTTGTATTTGAACTCCAGTCGATATCATCATTAGTGGCGAAGCCATCTTCTGTTACGTTTCCGCTTGTAATAATTATAAAATTTAATAATAATTAATTAATTACCTAAAATAAACGGTTACACTTCCAGAGCTGCCCTAAATATTACCTTATATGCCACAGTAACACGTATATGAGTAAAAATAAACAAGCAGTGAATTTATTTTTATAAATGAAGTGCTGAATGTAGATTAGATTTTTTTTATTGTATTTGTAAAAACTGCGTTAGTAAGCCAGTCAAAACAAACATATAGTTTGGCTGTGCAACGTACAGAAAAATAAATACTGTAAAGCTGCCACTAAAACTTGTTACGCAAAAAATAAGCCCTTGTGTGCAATAAACAAACACTGCTGCCAGTTAGTTTCAGTATAACGACGTTATTTACAACTGTAGGTTTTGTTTAAAAGTGTATATTTGTCGATTGTACATTAGATTTTAATATGTTTTAAATGTTTTCGGAAAATACGTCAAAAATTCAAATCAAAAATATAAACAAGTGTGAAGTTTTTCTTTATTGTTTAGTTACTGGGTTGGATCAAAGTAGGTAAAATTCGCATCCACGCATATCTGTTGCAGCAACTTTCGCTCTTTGTGACTCATGGCAATCATGAGATTCTTTGTTTTGTCAACAGTATAATCTGGCTTTGGAGTTGCGGACTAATATTGATATGATAAACAAGATGTTTTCATTCTGATGAAAGA